GTCATGTTTGATCAATTCAAAGCATCTTGTATCCATTTTCTTTAAAGCTGCAGTCCGTAACTTTTTTTGGTTAAAAATGATCCGAAATCAATATTTGAGCAAGTACATAACCAGCCAGTGTTCAAAACTATCGCCTTACTTTAGCCTGTTTCACAACGGTTAGCTTATAATAATGTTTTCTAATTTGAGTGGTACGGGTAGGTTTTGGCGGGAAATTCGAGCATGGCACTGCGTCATTACGTCACGTCTGTAAACATAAAGAAGTTGTCCCGGCTACTAGGCTATCGCCTATGTGAGGATCCTGCAGGTGGAGGATCGTTTATAGCCTTTTCTCACAGCAGCCAGAATAATGAAATATATCATTTTGATGGCGGATTTTAATCCATAAAGGATTATGTGTTTATGAAACACATGTGAATGAAATTAAATTATTCCCGTTTTAAATGTGCTTCTGATTACAGATAGCCTGGGATTAGACAGATTTGGATTTTAAAGAAAACCAGTTCAAAGGGAGCATAATTTGCTTTTTGGGTTAAACTAATTTCTTAATATAAAATTCAAAGAGTATGACAATTAGAGATTAGACTGTACAGAAATTGAAATCTACACACTAATACACACTATACTCATAGTTACCAATGCTGATGTTGTTAACATGAATCATCTGAGAATAAAGTATAACAATAATAATAATTTGCACAGTTTGATGTGATATGAGCTAATCGATCTTTAGATTAAATCACCATTGGTAGCGCAATTTATTGTAATGCTTTTTTCCTAAGTTGGTCAGAACAAATGTGGCAGACTTGTTACTTACTTGTTCAGATGACAAAATCCGGTGAGAATTCTTATTTGGTTCATATATTCCAAGACGTAGAATCTGTGATTGCGAAGTACAGTAAATATCTACACCGGTGCGGTGACTGACTGCCACACATACTCCTCAAAACATTAGATTCATCCGCGCTGGAGCCGCGCCGGAGCCGCGCCGGCGCACAACCCACACAAGCTAGATAATTCCGCACACAGCTGCAATTGCAGGTTTTCAAACAGAGATGGTGACAAACAGGCAAAATTTACGGACTGCAGCTTTAAATAAAAAAATCTGACACCAAACTTTTGAATGGTAGTGTATATAGTGTCCAACTCATTCAAAAGTCTGCGATTACAGTAAAATCTATTTTTGTTCCCCTAGAAATAATGTTATTGTAGTAAAACCAATCATTTATAATAATAATAATAATATATAAATACATTGTTAAGATTGCATTGAATAAAGAAAAAACTACTATTGATATATAAATGAATGAATAAAAAATGAATTTAGCATTAAAACCAGATGCTCTTTGGATCATCTTAAGTCATGCAGCATAACAGATTTTACACAGATTTGTGGCATTCATGCAGTTAGGTGCATGCACAAAAAAAGACTATTTTATTTCCAAATTCAGAATTAATTGATATACTAATGATATAATTTGTAATTGTTTATATTGATTTAGGAAAAAAGCAATACAAAAGCATTTTCACTTGTGGTTTCAGATCGTATAGAGGCAGTGACAATATTTGCATATTTATGTTGCCACTACATAAAAACGAATCGCATATATCTACAGTGCCCATGTTTTTCACACAGCTAATGTGTGTTTGGGAGTTTGCTCATTCCCAGGAGAGATACACATGTGATCCCTCTGGTGCATCTTCTCTGATTATCCCTAACAGACTATAATGAACCTCATTAGGCAACATATGCCCAGAGAAATGATGGGAAATAGCTGAACAGAACATAATTTCACAAATATACCAATAAATGACCTCACTCACTCCTGTCATCTTCCATCATTCAGTTCCATCTGCATTAAAAACATTAGAGGCCAATTACATCAGCACAGTTTCCCCCTGCAGCCCCTCAGAGCAGCGCTGGAAGGAAATGACTCGTTAGTGGGGCTAAATGCAGTAACGCTGGTGCAGGGTAAACAACAGCAAAGTGCTGCTGGAACACACTGAACCTCAGCCTGTCCACGTTACACGCACATTAGACGCTTCTGCTCCAGCGCAGTAATGTCAGATCACAGACAGAAAGGAATAACAACATAATTACTGGCACAAAATAACATCTGTGGGTTTAAAAGAGTCATTAAACACAATTATATAACGGAAAACTATTAATGTACCATCCACTGCACTGTCAATCACACAGCTAATGATATTACCATATAGGGGACAATGGCTGACATATTTAATACTGTAAAATGGTAATATAAAAAGTTTATTTATAAAAATAACATATCAATAGTTTATTTATTAGAAAAATACAGTTATTTCAATATTCAGTCAATTGTCACTGTAAATCACACTGCAATATTACTATAATTGACAATGGCTGTTATCATACAAGGTAATTTATTGCATTTAATGCTGTAAATGTAATTAATTTATTGTATTTAATACTAGAATGTATTTTAGTATGTATTTAAAAATAAAATGTAATTAATATTACATTTCATGCAAATTGTGTCAATCACACTGCTATAAAGCTATTACCATGTAGGTGACAATGGTAATGATATGTAAGGTAATTTACTGTATTTAATACTGTAAAAAGTAATTTTTGTATTTAATACTAAAATGTATTTTTAGTATTATTTAATAACAACAACTAAGTTATATTAAATTATATTTTTTTATTTTTAAATATTTTTATTTTATATGTAAATTGTCAGTGTCAGTCACACTGCTATAATGATATTACCATATAGATGGCAAAGGCGGATTTAGGAATAATAATTCAATTATTGTATTTAATGCTGTAAAATTGAATTATTTTATTTAATACTAAAACATATTTTTGTGTAATTAATATTATGTATTTAGTACTAACATGTAATTAATATAAAGTTATATTTATTGTATTTAAAAAAATAAATAATATACCTACACACACACATATATATATATATATATATAGTGAACTGAGAAATGACAACGCTCAATGCAAAAGTCAGGCGGTGCTTCTAAAACTGAAGGATTGTCTTTCCCTCTGGACTGACGGTAGTGTCATTATGGTAGCCTTGAAGACATTACCGCATTCTGCGCTATAATTAGGCTGTAAGAGAGAGTTTGAAGGGGGATGGGGGTCTCAGAGTGAATCTCCATCCATCTATACTGCGATCCAGCACGCTCTAAACACATTTAATCTGACTCCAACACAGTCCAGCTCGCTTGCACAAGACTCTCTTTACAACTGCTCTCCACACAGCAGCGGAATCCTACACCCCACACACTGATCTAGCATTTTAGCAAAACACGAAAGAAAGAATACTTTCTACGAAGTGTGGTGCTATTTTTAGAGTAACTAAACACCGTTTGTACCATTGCACGTTTGCACACAGTATCTATTTAAGCGCAAAAACATTTGCTAACCTTATTCACTAATCACTAAAACATCCTATTCCCACAATTTAGTTGAACTGGCACTGACTTGAGTATTTAAATAATGTCATGGTCAGTCTTTCAGCTCAAACACGCATATGTCTATTGCTCAATTTTATGCAAAAAAAAAGGTATTTGTTCACATCATTTTTCTTGATCATTCTCAACTTGCATATTCATGTTCTATACAACAGTGCGAGTAAACCATACATCCTCAATACAGAAAGGTTTACTTGGGAGGTACCATAATGTACAAAAGCCAAAAGGTACATCTTTGTGCTTTATTTAATCCTTAAATGATACATCAGTACCGAAAGTGTGCATATTAGTACCTTTTAAATAGTACTGACCCAGTGACAGTTTTGTACTAGATAGATAGATAGATAATTGATCAAATCTTAGCCATATGCACAGCTAAAAACTTTTTTTTTTAAAGGCTCCTTTTTGACGTACATGCAGTATTTACTGTTCACTCATGGTATGTGCTGATCCAGCATTGTTCAGAGGTCGCTGTGAGGTTAGACATGAACCTTTGAAGGTTTACTTAAGAGTGGATTGACACTTTATGATACCGAGTGGGGAATTCAAGGCCAAGCCCTGGAGAGGAATCCATGTGTACTCCAAAAAAGACCTGGGAAGGAAGACTGCAAATACATACTCATGCAGCAGACCCTAGCAAAACAACATGATCATGCTTATCAATTATATTAGTATAGCACATTATATTAGTATAGTGCATGAATTATATAAGTTGATTAGCACATATATTATAGTAACTGAAGTGTTTGATTGCATCATAAAAATCTAACTCCAAGGTAACAATTTAAGGTCATGATTAAGGTCATAGGGAACACATCACTGATGAAGCAGAAGGTGGTCTAAGACTTTGCCTATTGTGTTTTTTTTTTCTCTTGGTCTATCCACTCCAAATACACTTACTGTAGTAATAGCCTGAACATGAAAAAAAAATGCATGGAACTGGATTTATACATTTATAGGTGGTTTGAAAGCAAATCATGTGTTTATACGTCTCAGCCTGAATGATATGATCAAATTTACAATTTTCCCCAAGTTTCCACAAGTGTGCATCATTACAATGACAGCCAGTGTGGAAATGTCATCAAAAGCAACTGCAGTCTGAATGAATGAATGACTAACTAACTAACTAAATAAAATAACATCTGGCCACACTAAAATTGCCGTTTCAACAGTCGGATTTGTTCTTAAAAAAAAAAAAAAACCTAGACTACAACAGCAAGAAAAAGACCACAGACCACCTGGACTCAAGCTTTTATAACCAACCACAATTAGCTCCAGTTCCACAATCAGAAGGTGGTGTAGCCCATTGGTTAGAGCTGGGAATGGTAACCAAACTACTGTAGGTTCAAACCCTGCAAGAAGTGAGCCATGCAGCTGAGCAAGGGTTCCTTTAAGTTGCTTTTGAATGAAGTATGAGCTAAAAGACTAATTAGTATCCATTAGTTAAGACAAATGAAAGGAGATGGAGTGCCAGGCTTGCATATCAAAGACTTCGCAGTCAGAGGCTCTGTCAAGCATCCATTACTCACCTGGAAGATAAGCACTTTGAAGTTCTTCCTCTTGAGGAGCTCATGTTCATTGTTCTCCAGTTTTTTTATCTGTCCCGCTTGCTTCTCCAGGTCCGTGCGCACGCTCTTCACATTGACGTTCACCTTCCGCACCTTGTCCAGGAGCTTGTTGACCGTCCCGGCCGTCCCAACGTGACTCTTGGCTAGCTTGGCCAGCTCTGTCTGGATGCTGCTCATGTTCTTCTCCATGGTCTCCTGCTTGGCCTCCAGACCTGTCTGAGTCTGCTGGATCTGGTCCACCACACCTATGATCTTGTCTAGGAGTGCCAGGACCTTCATGCCTGTAGCCTGGGCCTCAGACTTCTGGGCCTCACCGCTGCCGCCTCCATCGAGTCCTGGCCCCAACACCAGGTCCACCTCTTCCGCCGGGTCATCATCGTCATCGTCGTCGCCTCGTTTTGATTTGAACACCTTGGAGGCGGTGGCAGGTTTGGTGGCAGCAGGCATCAAGGAGACCTCCTCGTCATCATCAGAGACTTCGGCGAAGACGGCACGCTCCAGTTTGAAATCTGTGTCGGCCATGGCTCGGTTTCAAGTAGACTCTGATGAAACACACACAAGCTTACTTGCAGACAGAGGGCAGAAGCATGCACACTCGTGGCCCAGTGTGCAAGAACGCAGTCCTAGGGTAAAAATAAAGCACTAAAAAAAGACTTGAATGACAGTAGACACCCAACGATCACAGCGATTATATAAGTTGATTAGCACATATATTATAGTAACTGAAGTGTTTGATTGCATCATAAAAATCTAACTCCAAGGTAACAATTTAAGGTCATGATTAAGGTCATAGGGAACACATCACTGATGAAGCAGAAGGTGGTCTAAGACTTTGCCTATTGTGTTTTTTTTTTCTCTTGGTCTATCCACTCCAAATACACTTACTGTAGTAATAGCCTGAACATGAAAAAAAAATGCATGGAACTGGATTTATACATTTATAGGTGGTTTGAAAGCAAATCATGTGTTTATACGTCTCAGCCTGAATGATATGATCAAATTTACAATTTTCCCCAAGTTTCCACAAGTGTGCATCATTACAATGACAGCCAGTGTGGAAATGTCATCAAAAGCAACTGCAGTCTGAATGAATGAATGACTAACTAACTAACTAAATAAAATAACATCTGGCCACACTAAAATTGCCGTTTCAACAGTCGGATTTGTTCTTAAAAAAAAAAAAAAACCTAGACTACAACAGCAAGAAAAAGACCACAGACCACCTGGACTCAAGCTTTTATAACCAACCACAATTAGCTCCAGTTCCACAATCAGAAGGTGGTGTAGCCCATTGGTTAGAGCTGGGAATGGTAACCAAACTACTGTAGGTTCAAACCCTGCAAGAAGTGAGCCATGCAGCTGAGCAAGGGTTCCTTTAAGTTGCTTTTGAATGAAGTATGAGCTAAAAGACTAATTAGTATCCATTAGTTAAGACAAATGAAAGGAGATGGAGTGCCAGGCTTGCATATCAAAGACTTCGCAGTCAGAGGCTCTGTCAAGCATCCATTACTCACCTGGAAGATAAGCACTTTGAAGTTCTTCCTCTTGAGGAGCTCATGTTCATTGTTCTCCAGTTTTTTTATCTGTCCCGCTTGCTTCTCCAGGTCCGTGCGCACGCTCTTCACATTGACGTTCACCTTCCGCACCTTGTCCAGGAGCTTGTTGACCGTCCCGGCCGTCCCAACGTGACTCTTGGCTAGCTTGGCCAGCTCTGTCTGGATGCTGCTCATGTTCTTCTCCATGGTCTCCTGCTTGGCCTCCAGACCTGTCTGAGTCTGCTGGATCTGGTCCACCACACCTATGATCTTGTCTAGGAGTGCCAGGACCTTCATGCCTGTAGCCTGGGCCTCAGACTTCTGGGCCTCACCGCTGCCGCCTCCATCGAGTCCTGGCCCCAACACCAGGTCCACCTCTTCCGCCGGGTCATCATCGTCATCGTCGTCGCCTCGTTTTGATTTGAACACCTTGGAGGCGGTGGCAGGTTTGGTGGCAGCAGGCATCAAGGAGACCTCCTCGTCATCATCAGAGACTTCGGCGAAGACGGCACGCTCCAGTTTGAAATCTGTGTCGGCCATGGCTCGGTTTCAAGTAGACTCTGATGAAACACACACAAGCTTACTTGCAGACAGAGGGCAGAAGCATGCACACTCGTGGCCCAGTGTGCAAGAACGCAGTCCTAGGGTAAAAATAAAGCACTAAAAAAAGACTTGAATGACAGTAGACACCCAACGATCACAGCGCAATGACTCCCAACACTTCTTGGCAACTTCTAACCAATCTTCAAGTCACCTCCACTACTTACTACCACTAAGTACTACTCTCTAGGTTTGCTGTAATGCCTCAAACTTTCCCTCAAGTCTACTCTGGGATCTCGGCCAGTCGGTGGAAGCAGACTCTCTCTCCAAGGTGTGTGTGACCACAGCTCCCTGTGAAGCCCATCCGTCAGGTCTTCCCTTTCCCTCCTTAGACCAGCCCTCTGCTGTGATCACTTACTGTAAGGTCACACCCACACTGACCCTTTAAGGGGAGTCTCCACCCTCACTAGAGCCTGGCAAGGGACATTAGAACACATACCCACCCTCTCATTTACGCAAGGGTATGAGACAAACGGCTCAAATCAATTTATGACTCATTAAAGCGTAAACCTGATACTGAAAATTACTATCAAAGACACGCTGCATTACTGGAAACACCATTACGATATAGCACAATAACATGTTCCTAACGTGTTGATATTTAGTTCAACAGGATTAAGATGTTTCTGTTTGTATGGCTCCAATGGCGTTTGCGAAGTTCCAGACCAGAGTATGTGAGTTTTTGTGATTTTGACTGGAGCGAGGAGCAGTTTTTTTTTTAAGTTAAAAATTTAAAGTTAAATGTTTGCTTATCACCCCAGCTCTAGCAAGTGTGAGCGATTAAAGGCATTTTTTTAGTTGGGAAAGGGGAAACTGTAAAGCTTGGTTCTTTTTGTTAGCGTAGAAAAATACAAACTGGTCAAATTTAGTCTGAAATGTAATTAAGCAATATCACAAGAGTATGAGTGCTGTCGTTCCAAATATCAGCATGGCTAATGTGAAACAACAGCAATAACACTTAAAGAAAACAGAAATATTATCTAATCATTTCATGTTTATTAAAAGTAATAATTATGCTATATATTATTAATAATGCTTCTTAATAATTAATAATAAATAATCCTTTAATTGTATTATACATGTACAGACATGATTTATTAATAGATATTTTCTCACATGTTAAAAAAAAAAGAAAAACAGAATTATGAGTTCAGATCCACTCTTTACTCTTTATTGACGAATAAAACAGACATAACCATTCAGCTTCACTTACTGCTTTTACTTGGTATAGTTATTTTCTCCAAGACTCCCTCTGACATCTATCAAACCAACGATTTTTTTTTTCAGGAGCCAATGCATGTTCATGTTGTAAACACAACAATCAAAAGCCCAGCAGATTCATGAGATTAACATAGTTTAGATGTGTATTTGCATTTAAATCACAATAGCTAAACACACACACACAAAACAGCAACACAGTTCAAGGCCAACTAAAATATAATTTCTCTTTACTTACATTTTCCAAAGAAATGCAAAGATCTGCAATAAATCTGAGGGATTATCTGCATCTAGTAATCAGATATGCTTGATGAGGATATCCTCTCAGCAGAAGCTTGTGAAATGCCATAAAGTGAAGCTTTCTTTGCTGCATTTGAAATGAGGTCCCTTTGCATGAGAACTATTATATAAATGTGTCAACATAAAGGATAAAAGATACATAAAAAACAAACTAATAATTTAAGAGACTGGAAAACATATAGACAAAATCTCCACCTATGCTATAATGGGAGGGAAACTGTAATGATATTTTGTCTTGATTGAGTAAAACATGCTGTTCATACTCCTGTGTGCTGTATGGCAACACCACTCGAGTTTGTATTATTACATATCAATACATATCACTGCAAGAATTGAAGAGTTACGAAATCATTGCAAATACGTTATGCAGTTCTAGCTCAGATTATTGTCAGCTTCAACTATTTACATCTAGTTTACCTGCTTGTAAATTATTCCATTTATGTCCTGATCTAGAACACCTGAGAAATTTAGAGCCTTACAAAGTCACAGTGTTCACAAGAATCATGAAATCCTGTAGTTTGGAGGTGTGGGAGTTGGGGAGGGAGAGAATGTGGGTGTGGTTTAGTCTTCAAACTTGCCCTCCAGAATGCCGTCAAAAGTAAAAGGCATGAACTTGAAGCCCTGTCCAGTGTAGAATTTATTCTGGAACTCCACCCTACAGAAAATAAGTGGGGAAACAGGGTCAGTGGATTGCAATTCTGAGTTTAAAATAAAATAATATAAAGGTTATTGTCTAGCTCCATATAACTTTTTTAGTTTGGTTTTGTACATAGATTTGATAAAAATCTAGATACCATCTTTTCAGGAAGTGAGTTTGGTTTTAGAATGCAGTTGTCACACATGCAACTACATTTGTTTTGTAAAGAATAAAATTAAGCATTCAGAATAGTCAATACAACTGTATTTTGCTAGAATAGCAGTGTATGTATAGCCATTGATAGGGAGCGACATCTGCTCTTGAAACTGTTCAGCTGTTTTAATTGATAAAAGGCGAGCATTGTGTGTGTGCCCTTACCAATGCAATCTGAGAGCATGAAGGAAGGCAGACAGCCCTTCCATGATCAACAGAATAAACACTGTCAGTGTAGCAAAGAAGGCAAAGATGATTGACAGCGCAAAGAATCCACCAAAATTCCTAGAAGCCAGACCCATGTGCATCACCATTGTCCACAAGACCTCAGAGAGCTCTGGAAGAAAACAGAAACACTTAAAAAAATATCTTGTAAACGATTACAAATTACTTAGTGAGAGGATAAACATGTACTGACATTTGTACAGGGCTGCAGTTTATGAATTTTCATCACATTTTCCAATCATTCATGATTAGAGGATGGATTTTCTTCATTTATTTATTTATTTAATAGAGATTACAAAGACTTGAATTACTAGTCTACAAAGTAAAACTGAGCATAATCAAATTTCCATGTATTTTCAATACAATAAATGTGAGTATGAGTGTGTGCATTACTTACGCGCATGGGCCAGACTCAGCGCCCAAAGCCGTAGATAAGAAGCAGTATTTGAGATGCAGCCTAAGCAGTATTCTATAGTGTGAATGGCTTGATGCACTGCAACATCTGCAAAATTAAACTAAAGAGAGAGAGAAAGAGAGCAATAAGAGCTGTTCGGACTCATGAAAATACAAAACTCTAATCCCACTCCCAGCGCAATCACAGCATGATTAGCAGCCCTGAATCTCACGGGCATGAGAACAAAATCACAGCGCGGGGCACTTTCAGATCATCAGCATCATTTGATGTGATATATATCCTAATCACAGCACAGCTCACTGAATCATTCCCATGTAATGATGGTGGCTAAAACAAAGGAAAATGACTGTCTAGAAAATAATCTATCTAGATGTACTGGAAAAGGACCGAACACCAACTACAAGAGACTACCCAACACTGAAGCCTGCAGGAACACACACACAAGCAGCAGAGCAAGAGGACTGTATGGGGTGATGGCGCACATACACACACACACAAACACAAATGTAAAAAAACATCTACACAGAGTCGAGAAGGCTGTCTGCTCTTACCACTTCCTCCTCTGACTGCTTGAAAGGTAATCAGACACATGCACAGACAGACACACAGGGTTAAAGACAGAGTTAGAATCTGATGAAGAGCTAGTGAGAGGAAAAATACACTTTGGTTTACAGAAAATGCAAAGATCTAATGACCAACACATAACAAAATGCAGTGGCCCCAAAAAGTATTCAGACACTTAAGCCACACCTACAAATGCATGAATGACTAATTAAACAAAATACAACAAAGCAAGTGGCATTTTTTAAAACAAGCACAGCACACTAAGTAAAACATTTCATTAAAAGATTTGTTAGCTTTGAAACAGACGTGATTTGGACAACAGTTTGGACATTTTCTGTTTGTCAAAAGAGTAATGTGATGTGACTAACTACACCTGCTAGGACACCTTTGTGAAACTGAGGGGGGCCGACTCTATGGCTACATTCACATGGCAGGCAAATTGGGCCAAATCTTAATTTTTTTTTTTGCTCACATGTGACTCAAATCTGTTGTGTGAACAGCACAAACCACATGGAATCTGATCTTTTCAATTCCGATTTGTGCCACTTCCATATGTGGAACTAAATCCGATATAGGTCAGATGTTTTGCAATGCGACCACAGTCTGAACAGTCATATCTGAATTCATGCGACTTTCACGTCACTCGATTCTGCGATTCTACACTCATGGGAGATACTTCAAAGATTTGACATACCCAAAGTTATCAAGACAATTTTTTACTTTATTTTTCATATAGCCTGTGCATAATTTAGCTGGCTTCTGCAGCAGAACACACTATAAATAAACGCATAATCGCTTACTTTACGTCCTCCGTGTTTACTTTCGTACAATGGTGCACTGCGCAAGTGTTGGCAAATCCAGTTTTCCCACAGAATTGGGCTACTTTTTCACTGTTGCCGCGGGTTGTTTTTCAACTCTGTGGGTTTGGCGACCCCACTAGCGACTACTAAAAATCATTGAGACCAGTTGCTTGAAAGTAATACAAAAATAGCGGAGGAAATTTATGCTATTTACGAGGTCTAGCATCATTTGTTTGCAGATGCCACGTGGTTTTTGTAAACTGATACATTTTTAAGTGCAGCTTTAGTGACCAAATAATTAATTCATTACATTTATATAGCGCTTATATACTTTATAGGGTCAGTGAAAACGCCAAAATGAGAGAGATAAACAATCCCAGGGATTTGACTTCAGTCTCCAGTAAACTGACTTTAATGGCTGCTACTGGCAGGTCTGTTTGGAATGGAAGGAGGAAGATTATTTGGCACTAATGCACTGAAAAGACTGCATCTCAAACCTCAAAATAATGCATGTTATCTGCTTCCATTTTATTTCCAGTGTAGAGAAACCCAATTAGCCAGGTGGGTGTTTGTTTAGTGTTTTGAGGCTGGTTGCCATGGGATACAGTGGTTGGGGGGAGAGACAGTGCTTTTAAAAGGGGCTGCCCCAGTTTAGACCAGCACTGGTATGCAGATCCCAGATCCAGTGAGTCACAGAATGGAATGCCCACTGCAGGCGAGCGACCCCACTGTCAACTGCGGCCGTTTTTAGTACCTGGGTGTGACTTGTCACCGTGTGGGTGGAAACAAGTATCACATAGACTACTATAAAGAAATTCAATTTAATTATTCTTATGATAAAGCGTTAAGTTATTCTCAGGATCAACAGATGACATCACATGGAGCGTCGGACCGAAAAGCCCGACCCAAACAAATATCCAGATAAATGGGTTGGCAGAA